CGGGGGTGGGAGGCGAGACGTGGGGGTGGGAGGCAGAGAGGGATGGGCGTTCGTGACGTCGCTCGCCGGCTGCCCGGCGTTTTAATCATCCAGTTAATTAGATTTATCATCGAATTAACACGCTTTGTTATTAAATTGACGAGCCTTGTTATGCAATTAATAAGCCTTATTGTTTAATTAATCAGCCTTACTACGTAATCACCGTTTTTATTTAATTAATAATCCTTATTATTTAATTAATTTGCACATTACCCAACTCTTCCTCACATCGTCGCTCAGCATTGTTTTTTAGAGCATCTCGCCGCGACATTATTGGCTAGAACCGCCTTTCAGTCGCGCGCATAGCTCGGTTTGTCGTCGCGGGGTCGCCGTGGCAACGCGCACGCTCATGTCGTTTTCGTTGATCGCAGGCAGCTGTGCATCCTGCTGAACGCCGAGGACATATACCGGACGCTGGCGGAGATTGTGATGAAGGAGCCGGACCTCCGCTTCGCCAGTCACATGGTGCAGACCCTCAACTCCATCCTCCTCACCTCTAAGGAGCTGTTCGAACTCCGCAACGGCCTGAAGAATCTGAAGACGGAGGTTTGTATTCTCGCTCGCTCGCGGGGGGGCGGGGGCCACTTTCCTCGCCGAGTGAATGCTCGTTTGTTTTTCGGAATGAGCCGGCGAAAATGGTCAGGCTTCGCGAAACATCGAGTGACGCATTTCGCGTCGCAGTTTTTCTCGTTGCAACCGTGTCACCCGCTGATTTATGTCGTGGAAGTAGCATTTGAAGTATTCGGTAGTTGCGTGAGACATCTATATATTGACGATTCGTCCGCGTGAATGCTCGCTTTTTTTTCCCGGGATGGCGAAACAGCAACCGGCAACCGGTATATTGGATCGCTTAGTAAGCAGCAGCTATTGAATTTGCGAATTGTCTTATATTTCTTTTGTTTATTTAGGAAATTAATACTAATTTGCATGAATATTGATATATTAATATATTATATAATATATCATATATATATATATATATATATATATATTACATATATTATACAATATATATTATAATTTATTAATATTCATCGATATACATCGATGAATCGTCCGACCACTCATATTAATCATGTGGTTTGTTTGTCACACAGAGCTGCTGCAGTCTGTTCGTCTGCCTCTACCAGTCGTGGTGTCACAACCCCGTTGCCACGGTATCTCTCTGCTTCCTCACACAGAACTACAGACACGCCTCCGATCTGCTGAAGACATTGTATCCTTGTTCACACACACACACGCGTGAGCGCGCGCATCAGCTGCCGTATGAACACGTGCCAGCACACCCTGCTAGCCTAAAACACGAATCTTTTAGTTTGGTTTACAAAGGATTGTTTTGCAGGCTTTTGATGCGGTCTAAATGCGAATTTTTAGGCATGGTTCACAAATGATCATGTGAAAAGATTTCCGATGCCTATAAATGCAAATCGCAAAATGTAGATCACAGTTGGTTCATTCTGGTAATGTTTTTGACGGTATAAAAGGTTTCTCCTTAAGTCGCCGTGGCAGTGGTGAGCTTGAGGTGACGGTGGATTTTCTCACCGAAATAGACAAGTTGGTGCAGCTGTTGGAATCTCCGATTTTCACATGTAAGTTGTCAGCGTTCTACCTGTTGTTGTAGTTACGCACAATTTCAGGTATTGTTTCAAAATTAAATAGACTACGTCACGAATTTTCTATGGTAAAATTTGTAAAATTTTTGTTGCAATTTTTTTACATTTAAAGTAAGAACTAACGGGACTAAACGTATCGTCAAATTCTTACCTGATAAGATTGTTTCTCAACTAGTTAAAAATCCAAAAAACCTGGACGATTTTATATTAATAATTATGATCTTGACATTAATTGCTTGCTATCTATGTATGAGTTACGAGTGTATGTTCACATCGAACAATATAGTAAAACCGGAAGTATAATGCAGCAATTTAACCATAAAAAGCGACAGAATTACTTATATTTTGTGTTTTTTTTTTACTATTTACGGTGACGTAATCACTTTAAGCATGTCTGAATGTTTTTTACGTTCAGTCTTTTGTTTCGTAAACTTTGTAAGAAGAGGTTTGTAACTTTGTAAACTACGAAGAGGTTTGTCATACTGGAAACTAAGAAGTTTCTAATTTTGGAGAATAAAAGCTCGTTTTAATTTGTCAGATCTGCGCCTGCAGTTGCTAGATCTGCAGCATAATCAGCATCTCACCAAGAGTCTGTACAGCCTGCTGATGCTGCTGCCGCAGAGCGACGCATTCCGCACTCTGCTGCATCGTCTACAGTGCGTGCCCAGCGTGCAGGCAGCCGACAACGCCACCGACAGGTGCGGCAGACGCGCGCGAGTCGTAGAAACGTATATTTATGTGCTGTGATACCAATAATTATTTACTAATGTTAATGGGAATGATGACTATTCTTGCGAGTCGTCGTCGAAATGATGAGATTTATGTAAGAGTGTGGAGGCAGCTGAAAACGCCAGCGACAGGTAGGCAGACGCGCGAGTCTATTTATTAGAATTTTTATTATATTTTTATTATATTTTAGAATATTTATTTTTTAGAATTGTGTGTTTATGCGCTACGTTACCAATAGTTGCTAATGTTAATGTTAATCGGAATGAGGACTATTTTTGCGAGTTGTTGTCGAAATGATGAGATTCATGTAAGAGTGTGATGGTTTAATGATGATCGATGTATCATGTCTGGATGCACAAGTTACATGGGTTATGTTTTATCTGACTGTAAATGTGATTTCACCAGTGGTTTCACCAGTTTAAAGTTCAGTGGGTGGACTTTACAGGATTGTAATTGTTTGGTGAATAACTTATTGTGAATAAATTGAGATAATATGAGTGAAAATTCACGCACGCACGCACGCACGCACGCACGCACGCACGCACGCACGCATGCATGCACACATGCATGCGTGATCGTACACATACACACACACACATGCATGCACACATGCATGATAGCACGTACACATGCATGCACACGCACATACATGTCATAGGTGAAAATACTCAAATCTGAAAAATCTACCTAGCTGTGCTTTATTTTACGTGCTATTAACAACATTATCTTGTTGTTACCTCTACACTACCTAGTTCGACATGCCGTCTCATCAAGATTTCCGAAAGTAAGCCGTCTCTCCCTATTGTATTCATAGAGTATCCCTCTATTGTATATTTCCCGCCCGTAGGCTGTACCCATCGCTGAAAACCAACGACGAGAGACTACCGAAGGAGAAGTTCATCAATTTCGGCGAGCTGCTTGAACATTTCAACGCGACGCAACGCAAGCACGCGGCGGACGGGCGACAGAAGCAGGCGGGCGCGACGGTGCAGGCGTTGCAGTGAGAGCGTTTGATTGGTCGGCGCGCGGTGACGTCGGCTGCCGCCCCGCCTCCTCCGCCACGCCTCCGCTGACGCTCCGTCTCTAACCCCGGCTGTGCGACGAGGGAGGGATGCAGTTTCCCGAATCGCTTTTGCCGGTCGCTTCGAAACCGGGACGATGATGATGCTGCGGTGAAAAACTAACAGGTGAGATCGTGATCATGGTGAGTGATCGATGACGGCGTCGATTGCCGTACGATTCGCAACGCGTGAGGTTGGGCTGCCGCTGACCGAAGAGGTTTGGCCGAGGGGAGTTAATTAATAGTTCCCTATCGGTGATGCGATCTAGTTGTGATTGGGTGATGAGTTTTGTGGGCGCAGTCGCACATTGTGCCACTCGGTACAGCCGAGGGAGCGAGGGAGCTAGGCGAATTTATCGGCGGTTTGCAGAAACAATCGCTGCGTGGAGCGTAATTTGCGACGAAAACTCTAGATTTGCTTGACAGATGGCGCCACCTGACGTAGCAGGCGAAAGTATCTTTTTTTTAGGTAATTGTACCTATTAGGTCTTTCAAGAATTTTTAGAGAGTGATTCCTGTTTGACAGTGTTGGCAGTGTTGTAGGCGGAAGAGACGGCGGGTGGCAGGCGCTACAGTTTTACCGATTCGCGGCAGTTCTCGTGGGTGAACGAGATGTGAGCGTGGACTTTAGCCAAACCAAACACAATCAAGTCTGTCCTTATCAGCTATAGGTGTCGATTGAGAATTGATTTGAATGATTGTTGTCTTTTGTTATACTGTTCTCGCTGAATGTATGTAAGATATATCATGTATATATTGGGTTATGCATTGAGGTCTAGCAATAATTCAATATTGAGCAACTAGTTGAAATTCGGCAACCATTATAATGTTTCGACCCATCGATAAGTGAATGGCTATAGTACATCAGGTATATATTTGCAATAGTTTCATCCTTCTCTTCGTTCTCTCTTTTTCCCTCTTTCTCTCTCTATCTCTCTCTCTCTCTCTCTCTCTCTCTCCTCCTCTCCGGTGCTCTGATCTCTCTTCTCTCTCTCTCTCTCTCTCTCTCGCTTCTCTCTCCTCGCGGTCTCGTCTCTCTCCTCTCCGTCTCTTCTCTCTCTCTCTCTCTCTCTCCCTCTCCCTCTCTATCTCTATCTCTATCTCTCCCCCTCCTCTCTCTCTCTCTCCCTCTCTATCGTTCTCTCTCTATCTCCCCTCCCCCCTCTCTCTCTCTCTATCTATCTCTATCTCTCCCTCTCCATCTCTCTCCCTCTCTCTCTCTCCCTCTCTCTCTATCTCTATCTCCCCCTCTCTCTCCCTCTCCCTGTCTCTCACTCTCTTTCCTTCTCTCTCGTCCTCCCTCTCTCTCTCTCCCTCCCTCTCTCTCTCTATCTATCTCTATCTCTCCCTCTCCCTCTCTCTCCCTCTCTCTCTCTTTCCCTCTCTCTCTCTCTCTATCTCTATCTCCCCCTCTCTCTCCCTCTCCCTGTCTCTCTCGTCCTCTCTCTCTCTCTCGCTTCCTCTCTTCCCCTCTCGCCCTCCCTCTCTCTCCCCCTTTCCCTCTCTCCCTCGTCCCTCCTCATCTTCTGTCTTCCGTTCCGACTTCTAGTTTATGGCAGAACAAAGTAAAACAGCGAAATCAGGCGATGATCAGGCGATGAATCAACGTTTAGTCTCTTTGATATGTAAATATGGGAGTGATTTGGAGCGTGTGCGTATTACTGTCGAAGTAAATTGTTTGTGCGTGGGTGTAAATTATCTTTCTCGGGCAGTTCGTTGTATATGTATATTCGGTTAGACTATAGAAGAAATATACGTGTGTATCGTTGGGGATAAATTATGATCGTTACATTAAATGTAATCTAATATATATGTATAACACGTGTTTGTTGAACGTTTATGAATTGGTGAGTTATGGGAAGAAGTTGATTCTCGTGGCGATATTAGCAATCTAAGCAAATACGGCAATAACAACATCGCCACTACCACCGCTGCCGTCGTCATCGTTGTCATCATCATCATCATCATCATCATCATCATCATCATCATCATCACTGTCACCGCCATCACCATCATTATCATCAACAACGACATCATCATCATCATCACCGTCACCACCATCATCATCATCATCATCATCATCATCCTCATCGCTGTAACTGAGATTGAAAAATCGACTTTAATCGATTACTTATTAATTAAGATTATATTATTAAATAACGTTTATCACGTTCATCGTCTAAAACGGTCAACACTAAACATTCATTCTGAAATAAATACACGTAAAATAGGCACGGCTTCGCACAGTGCAAAACAAAAATGATCCATAAAAAACACGGTTCATCACGTGACAGTGCCCAAAAAACAACAACATTAGTGTGAATGGTGGGTTCCCTTCAGACACGTAGAAATACAGTCATACTCGATAATATAATACGAAAAGAGTGGCGGCACATTGGAAGCCAAACGCAGAGGAACTCAAACGCTGCGTTCTACGCGAAATACCGCGTAAACATCAGACTGTATAATTAAGTAGTGTTGTTGGGTGTGCGGGTGTCAGTGTGGGTGTGTTGCGATCATTATTCATTCATTTGCACCACCATCGGTTTAATGCAAAATAACGTAAACGTCAGGGACGTGTTGGATGGAAACATGTTTGGGGTCGCGGGCAAATATTTGGCGGGTTTGATAAGAGTCGAGTTTCTTCCACGTAAACATATGATCCCGCAGATCGCGAGAAAGATGAGTGATGTAGATGTGTTTGTGGCCAACATTTTTGTCTCTCTCCTAACGAAAACAGGGCACGTTTGAAATGCAACTCCTGAGATGAAAAATAAAGATGTAGCTTAATCCTACTTCGTTTAAACGCATTCGAATCGCAAAAGATTATATAAGAAACAATATTCGACAAAATCTGAACGATTCAACGAGAATAAAGAACGAGAATGTATAAATACATTTGCAATCTAATGGTCAGCAACAAGCTCTTGAGCGTGGCGCTAACATTTCACGGACAAACAAAAACATTTCCTAAGCGACCCTCAGTCTTCAACTTAACGAAGAGCATGGTCGCGGTAAGTGTCAATACAAACATCACATTTCATTCACCCTCCTCCTCCCCCTCCTCCTCTTCCTCCTCCTCCTCCGCATTCCCCCTACACACAACGCATGCGTAGTGATCCCCACCCGAGTACTTAACTCTATATATCAAAATCGACGGGAAGTCGTGAGTGAATGCGGCAGTGTTTGATACTACAGCAGCCGACCGGCACAAACAACAGCCCTTCCTTCCATTCGCTTCTCACGAAGACCGTCCTTCTCTCGTCCTCCGCTCGTCGGACGTGCGTGCATACACGCGTGTGCGTGCGTGCATACACGCGCGTGCGTGCGTGCGGGAGATATTGCTCCCCCATGCTTCCCGGCAGCGTCGATCCAGTGTCGCCACCAGCGGATCCCTCGTGAGCCGACGTACTGGGTGTGTTTGACGAGCATCCACACTAATGACGTCATCGTCATGGTGACGCGGTCCGCATCGTGGCAGTTGTCTCCCCGAAGTTGTTCTCACACGTGCGAGTAATATTCTCCGGAACATACGCGAACGCCGAACACACAATGTTGTTCACACCTTATTAGCTTCAGTGCGTAATAATACGCTCGAGGGATAAAATCTCGCGTTCCTTTGCTAAGAGTTTCTGTTCTCGTTTGTTAGTTTGTTTGTTTGCTTGTTTGTTTGTCTATTTGTTTATTTGTTTGGCGCGTCATCATACGGCGTTGTATCGCTGCGCCTTGCCGTTCTGGAGGTAGTCGACAGGTGGCGGTAGCGGCGGAGGCGTCGACGGACCCGCAACCTCGTCGTTACTATTCGTCGACGACAGAGACACGCGCAGCGGCGGCGGCGGCGACGGCGGCGGCGTCGGCAGTCGCGCCCGGTAGATGTCGCTGCCGACGAGCATATCGTTGTTGCGCGACGACGACTCGGGCGCCGCCTGGCGCTCGACGAGCGCGGCGACGGGTTTCTGCAGCGTGCTCTGGTTGGAGCTGCACGTGTCGTCGACGCGAGAGAACGGCACGTACGTCGGCGCGCTCGCGTCCATGTCCTTGTCGAAGAGGTGTCCCGGCACCTCGCACCCTGAGTATGACTGCGGCTGCTGCTGCTTCTTCTGATTTTGCTGCTGCTGTTGTTGCTGCTGCTGTTGTTGCTGCTGTTGTTGCTGCTGCTGCTGCTGCTGCTTCTGATTCGGTTGATGCTGCTGCTGCTGGTGTTGTTTCATGGATGGCTTCAGTGGGGCGGGGACGATGGAATCGAGAGTACTCAGCTTCTCTGCTGCTGATCTCACCATTGGCTTCGTCTTCCCGGCGGCTTCCTTTGTCGTCCCCCGATGCTCGGACCACGCGTTTCCCTGCGGCGGGTGCAGCTGCGGCGGCGGCAGCGTTGGAAGCACCTTAACACCGCCCAGCTGTATAAGCCGGTCCGGTTTCGACGGTTTATCGGGCCGCGCGGCTGCTTTCGCATCCCTGCCGTCGTCCCGCCTCGCGTCGGCGGCTCTCACGGCGTCGGCCCTTCCCGCGGGTTTACTCCGACCTCCTCCCCCTCCTCCTCCTGCTGCTCCTCCCCCGCCGGGTTCCCGCGGTCGGATGACGATCCGCGGTTTCTCCGTCACGGCGATTCTCGGTTTGTCCGGGACAGTGACTAGCGGCTGGTCCGGCGTCGGACGCGGCTTGACCACCGGAGCGGGGGTAGGAGCAGGGGCGGGGGAGGGAGAGTGTCTCTCCATCACAGCTTTCGTCTTCTCCAGCCGCGGTCTGGGCTTCTCCCCTGCCGGCGTCCCCTTCGGTTTCTCCGCGCTGATGATGGCTGCGGGCGTAGGAGCAGAAGAAGAGGATGAAGAAGCTGCCTTCTCCGGGGAGGCACCTCCTCCCGTCCGCGCCGCCGATGGCTTCCCCTTCTCAACGACGGCGGAGATCTTCGACTTCTCCGGCGAAGGCGTGACCTTGAGTTTCTCCGGCGACGGCGTGACCTTGGGCTTCTCGCTGACCTTGGGTTTCGGATGCGGCTTCAGCTGCTCCCCAAAGTCGATCACGCGGAGCCGCTCCAGCGATGTGGTGCGGCGGGGAGGGGGAGGAGGGTACTCCTCCTCCTCGTCGCCGAGGTAGAGAGAGACTGGTCGCATCGTCGGCGGGAGACCAGCGAGGAGCTTCTCGGAGGACTTGAGAGAGGAGGAGCGCGGGAGAGGACGCGGCTTCTCCGAGGGAGACTGCGGAGGTCTGTCGATGAGCAGCTGTCTTCCCCCGGGGACGGACATCGGTCGCGCCTTCCTCTCTCCTGTGAACGAGCGAGAGAGAGTGAGAATGAGAATGAGAGAGCAAGAGCGGGCGAGAGAAAGCGAGAGCGAGAGAGACTGAGAATGAGAGCGAGAGAGGGCGAGAGAGAGGGAGAGCGAGAGAGAGAGAGAGAGAGAGAGAGAGAGAGAGAGAGAGAGAGAGAGAGAGAGAGAGAGAGAGAGAGAGAGAGAGAGAGAGAGAGAGAGAGAGAGAGAGAGAGAGAGAGAGAGAGAGAGAGAGCGAGAGAGAGAGAGAGAGAGAGAGAGAGAGAGAGAGAGAGAGAGA